CTGCAACAGATTTAAATTAAAGGTTGCTGGAAGACGATTGCACTGTAACTTGTTGGAAGTTCTTGAGTGAAATACAAAGAAAGGTGAGAGGAAATAAAAGAGATAGTCCCACTTTGATAATTTACCAAAGCTTTATGTCGTTTATTCTTTGGAGTAGTTTTGTACTACTTGTTTGAGAAGAGGTAAGTGGGTTATGGACATCTTATATATCTCTTAATACCCATTATTATTGACAGTTTATTGTTATTAATTAGAATATTGTATCTATTACAATATTCATGGTCTATTCATTTGAATTAAGTTATTGACAATGTTTTTAATATGTATTTTCCATTCCCAAGTTCAAATTGACATATACAAAAATCAAAAATATTCTCTTCGATCTTCTCTTTAAAAAATACTCCTTTGACCGTGCTTATCCTGGAGAGCGACCGCTTGATGTCTACTGCACTGGGGTAGCGCGAAATCGTCTTTTAGGTCAGTGGTTCACCACGACGCGGCAATTGTCAATTTGGTCTACACAACATTGAGATAAGTATCTTCCGTTTAATTGCTTATTTTCTAACAATCTAAAAGACGAGTTCATTGCTTCCAAATTTTTGACATATCGTAATTGATTTTCTTGATACAAAGATTTGTGAATGTTGCTTATTTTTTAGGTAGTATTTTGTTTGGGGGAAGCAATTTTATGTTGTGTATGTTGTTAGACCAATGAAGGGGTATCACTTACAGTAAGAAGGGCTAGAATGTATATGTGTTATGGAAAGGTTGAAATATTGTCGTTCTCGAGTATTTGTATATATTCTCCACTGTTCTAGTATTCCTAGTAATAGAAATTTAGTTTGGTTTATTGCTGGAACTTTTCTTGGGTAATACTAATAATACCATTGCAGTACCTTCATTGTTATCGTTATTTTTTCATCACTTTGTTGCTTGTTTTTTTTTTTTGTTGGTTCTATTGTCATAAATATCTGGGAGTTACAGCCACGTATTGTTGGCTTGTACAACAAACCCATTTTTCAAAGATGAAGAGTTCTGGGGTCTGGCTATTGTTGTTCTTTTGTTGCTTGGTTTGGGGATTATTTATTTACCCCAATTATTCCTTAAGGATTTTATATCCTCAAAATTTGGATTTATTATTGTTTCGGTATGTTAATCATGTGTCTTATAGGCTTTGATTTATTTGCACATGCTTTTATCTAATATTAATAAGTGAGAATTGTCCTGCCACGCTTGATATTTTTTCGATTTTCGAATGCATGAGTTAGTCTTTTAAGATGATGTATTGCATAATGGAAAGTATTATTGTTATGAACTTGCTATTTTATACGATCAAATTGATGGAGTTCAATAATATCTTACTTACATTGTTTTATGTCGGGCTTAGTGTTTTCATATATTGTGTACTTGACTACTTGATGATAAATACAAGTATTACTTTTGGTCAATCACTATCTAAATTATAGCCTTTATTGTTGTGACTAAGTAAATGTTGTATGGGGAAGTTTTAATTTGGAGAGTTAGCTTGAATCATGGGAGCACTATAATAACATTTTAATTGACTTTAGGGCTTGTTCGTTATTCGCGGATTTTCGGGAGCAGTCCCAAAGATGACCCCCGATCAAAGGTCATCCTTGGTCGGTTTGGGCTGAAATTTTGGGAGTATGTTAGGGACACATGACGCTTATTTTTCAACGGTTGGATTCTCACTATCTGCTCAGATTAGTGAGTTATGATGACATCTTGAGGCCCTTATTTACAACGAGGACAGTTGGACATCTCATAGAGCTCTCTCTCACGTTACTTGATTTAATTCAAGGGAGGTTCATTCTAAACCAAGTCTTTTGTTAATTTTGGTTAGCATCTGGCTTAATCCTAATAATCTTAACAAATATGTGTTTTTGTGGTTATTGACAAAGTATGTTGAATGTTCAATTTGTCAACTAAATATTTGTTGAATGATTAATAGAACGAAAGTAAAAGTTATAATGTCGATATTTTATGAGTATGACATTATATTGCATATAAGTAGTTACCTTTAATTTGTTGGTTCTACATTTTGTGGATTAACTTGTTCAGTAAGATGCTTTGAGCAATGTATTTTAACATGTTATTAAGGTGCATGTATGTACTCCAAGTACTACTTTTATCATGATTCATGTATGTGTTGAGCATGGAGTTGAGATGAATTATTTCAATTTCTTGAATCCATGTATGCAATACTCGTATTGAGAAGCTTTATTCATACTCAATTGATTTCATTACTTTATTCTCGGTTTAACATGCATGTGTGAAATTTATAAATTCTCAAACTTGTTGAGTTTTGTGAAGGGAATTATGTGATTATTTTACTTAAGGATATTGTATGGCTTTCTCTTTGGAGAATTTTCGAGTAAAGTATTTTGGGAATTGACTACGATTTTCTAATATTTTATGATGGTTTATTGTTACCGCCTATGACTCTTTATTGTGTTATAATTCTTTATGAATAAAGCATGCATGAGTAATTTGTAAATGCCTTGAATTTTATATGGTGTCTTGGGAGTTAATATTTTGAGGTGTTGTTGAATTATTATCCTTGATTAATTCAATGTTTCAAAGATCTCTGCTCTTGTCCACCTTATATGTCATTATACCCAGTGTTATGACATAGTTGTGAATTTTTCCCAACCATATATTTGTTTATGCTCTATTTTGGTATTTGAACCTTGTCCTTTCATGTGGGGGTTTTTATATCCAAATATTTCATTCATTGAGAATGTGGGTGCATTGGTAAGGGTTTTGAATCACTTTGTTGTCCAATGCGGGGGAAGTAATAAAGAATCAGTGTTGGACTCAAAGTCTTGCTTAGTTTTTGCTTGATAAATTGCATATCCTAATTGATTCTTTATTGAATAAATTGTCTTTGAGCATATATGTGTATTATTACTATGTTTCAAGTGGTTGGATATCCAAGCTGGATTACTTGAATCTAGTAGGAATGAGAGGCATTAATGTTAAAATTTTCTATTGTTTAATGCAAAGCCTAAAAGTGGTTAATTGAGCTAAAGATGGTTTATGATTGAGTTTTCCTTACAAGTTTGTTTTGGTATATCTATGTCTTTAGAGTATTTACTTTAAATCAGTGGAATATCATGAGTGATTGCTTCCGTAGAAGAAGTCATTGAATATTAGTTAGATTATGTCTAACTATGTATAGATTTTTACAATCTTTTTCCTGGGATTGTGATGCTTAATATCTCTTCTATGGGTTGTGTTGCTAATTCACTGAGTTATCGTTGGAAGTCTTTAAGGTTAAACTTGTGATGGATGAGTCATTACTATAATATAAAGTTTTTTTTTTCTTATTGATCATATGGGAGCAATTCATGTCCATTTGGCAGTCTTATGTTTCTTGGGAACTATGCTTAATCTGACATTGCTTCATAGATTAGCAATAAGCTTCAAATTAAATTGATTCTTCCTGGGTCGATGCCCGAGCGGTTAATGGGGACGAATGCTAGGCGAATCAGTGGAGTGCGGTACCCTAGATGGTGAAAGTCCAGTAGCCTTAACTTGAGCAATGACCATCAGATAGTTTTGAGGAGGTTGCATAGGTACTTGAAAAATACAAAAGATAAGAGTTTGCACTATTGCAAGTTTCCATGAGGTCTTGAAGTTCGATAATGAGTTCAAACTCAAGCGGTTATGTTTGCACCACTAAGTGGTGAAGCTATGTTTTGGAAATTGTGCAAAGTTATCTTGTTTTGCTATGTTTGTTTTGGAATAATCTAATTTATTTCTCTTGAATTGACAGGTTATGAGGCAAGATGGTCAAGAGTGCATGGCTCTTATGAGCAAATGTGCTTGCAAATATCCCATTGTAAGGGAATTTGTTATGATTTGTAAGTTGTGGTTACTTTTGATTGAACCATGCCTATAATAGTTGATGTCAAAGATAATTTTGTCGAATGGGGTGATATCACTAGACTACATAAAGTCTAAAAGAAATGTTACAGATCCGTTATCTAAAGGCCTATGAAAAAAAAAACTAGTTTTGGAAACATCGGAAGAGATGGGGCTAAAGCCTATTGTATGAATTGTGAAATAGTGAACTCCTACTCACAATGAGTTCAAAGGGGAACATTATGTAATAATTCGGAAGCACATTTTTATCTGTCCATCTCTAGATGTTTGTTTGTGCTTAGCTACAAATGAGAAGGAGGTTGAACATACGGCTCTTAATGAACCCATATCCATATTTTTGGAGGTGTGTTGTAGCTCACACTTGATGGAGTTCACCTACTTAGGTGTGGAAGTGTGGCCGCTTCCTATGAGTATTTCGTGGGCTTATACTCTAGAGCACCTATGAGCATCCAGGTTGGACGTATGGCCAGTATAATGCGACACCTTTATTCGCGAAATTTCAGAATATTATACATGCTCAATTGTGTGGCTCAAAGTGACGAGTCCCTAACTCCCTATTAAGTTCAAGACGAAGGTCACTTGGTAGGTGAGGGATTATAACTTGATGTCCACTATGTGTTAATTCAAGTCGCGAGACATTGACACTTATGCAATTGTTTTGTTTTGCCCAAAACCAATTTTCTTTCTTTCTTTTCACATCTTCGAACCCGTGGGGGATTGTTGGAAGTTCTTGAGTGAAATACAAAGAAAGGTGAGAGGAAATAAAAGAGATAGTCCCACTTTGATAATTTACCAAAGCTTTATGTCGTTTATTCTTTGGAGTAGTTTTGTACTACTTGTTTGAGAAGCGGTAAGTGGGTTATGGACATCTTATATATCTCTTAATACCCATTATTATTGACGGTTTATTGTTATTAATTAGAATATTGTATCTATTACAATATTCATGGTCTATTCATTTGAATTAAGTTATTGACAATGTCTTTAGTATGGGAGTTATGCTCATCAATGACGGTTGTTATGGCTCCTTAATTATCCCATTAAAAAGGAGTAACTCCTCTTAATTGTTGCAGCCTTTTCCCTTTGATGTTGCTGCCACTTTCTTCATCTATTGCTATATATTTTCCATTCCCAAGTTCAAATTGAGATATACAAAAATCAGAAATATTCTCTTCGATCTTCTCTTTAAAAAATACTCCTTTGGTTTTTGGGCAAGTATTCTGAGTTCCAGTTGGGTTTGTGAGTGCACACAGATTCCGGCGCCGTGCTTATCCTGGAGGGCGACCGCTTGATGTCTACTGCACCGGGATAGCGCAGAATCGTCTTTTAGGTCAGTGGTTCACCACGACGCGGCAATTGTCAATTTGGTCTACACAACATTGAGATAAGTATCTTCCGTTTAATTGCTTATTTTCTAACATAACTCAGCAAGTCCATCCAAAAAGATTGAAGTCGTTGCGAAATTATCCTAAGATAGTTAACTAAAATTGCAACCCCCTCCCCCCCCCCCCCCCAAAAAAAATATATAAGCATGAAATACAAATAAATAAGAGTAAAAAAGATTAAAGAGGAGCACGATAATCACATTTAAAAGGCTTGAGATCAGGAAAACAGCTCCGGAGAAGTATATCACACTTAGGTGGAGCACACTTACGACAACGGTCTCGAGCGCATTTCAGGTACACCTTAACACCAGCAGCCTTACACCGAATCTCCTCTTCATTCCACTCTAAATATTGCGACCCCGTATCTCTACTAAACAATATCCTGCAGTCAGGAACACGAAAACTATGGCGAGTATCCAATAACTCCAAATCTTTGTGGCCATCCAATATAATAGACAATGCATTGATCGATAAAGCACAATAGTCGAGCCTCAGTCGCTTTAGTTGAGGACATCTGTCACGTATAATTGTTGCAATATCATCATCCACAGCGCCAAATAACCGCAGAGTTTCGCTTCGGAATTGTGCTATTAATACTGAAGGACACTGCACTTTCTTCAGCTTCTTCCAGTATTGCATAGCAAGCATAATAAAAGTAAAATTCGTCCGCACTGCCCGGGGTATTATCAACTTCTGCATGGAAGGTGTCCTGCAAAGTACATACAAACATGTAAGTATTGTCTATAAAAGATAGCATTTGAGGTAGAGGTAGCAAACAGGTCATTTGGGTCAGATTTTGTTCTCGAGTCAAGTCAGGTTCTAAATTACACTTGAATTTAACTGATTTGATGTAGCTTTTCTTCCATGTAATTACTAATTTTTACAAAAGCAAAGCTGTAGTAAGCTTAAACTACAGCTTGAATTGTTTCTACCGATTAAGTCTTATGTTTAATGAATATTCCATATTAAACTTCTTAAAATGAAATTCTCAAATTTACCAAATGAATCCGTTTAAATCAAAGAAAAATTCACAAGAATAATCTCACCTTTGTCAAGTCTTCTCAAAATAGTCCCACCTTTCAAAAATCCGTGAATAATCCCACCTTTTCTATGTATCTTCTCGAAATGGATCCTGTTACCGGGTACTTGGTCAAGCGGTATTAGGTGGACTTTTATTTTGTTTTCCCTCCCTTATTAATTAATTATCCTAACTACCATCCCATTTCTGAAACACCATTACTCACTCTTTCCCCTTCCATTAATTAAAGACCAGAAAATTGGCAAAAAAAATAAATTGTTGGGTTTGTGGGGATTACGCATAAAGTACAATGGTGGATGTTAAGCATCAATATTTAAGGTATTTTTTTTTATGAATTACTGTTTCAATTTTTCGAAAATGTGTGGCTTGGATATGAAATTGTGTTTTCCCTTTTTTTTTTGTTATTTTTTTGTTTAAATAGGTGATTGTCGATACTTGTTTGTTGAATGTTGATAGTTTCTTGTTGCGATTAGTGCTCTACATTTCTACAAAATTGAGTCTTGGTTGTTGCGATTATTATTGTAAATGGAGAATGAGACATTGAAGTTCTGGCATGGGGTGTATTTAAGTAAGGTAAAAAGGGATTAAGAGAAGAATGGGGAGCACACTTATGGTGGAAGACAGGGGAGAAGATAATTATATAGCTTAGCAATTCCAAGTTATATAGAAACCCACAAACTGTGCAATGGTAAGTGCCACATAGGCCAATTCACCTGTTGCAAGACATACATGAAAGGGGTCCATTTTGAGAAGATTCATAGAAAAGGTGATATTAATCCCAGATTTTTAAAAGGTGAGATTATTTCGAGAAGACTTGCAAAAGGTGTGATTATCCTTGTCAATTTTTCCTTTAATCAATAAAATTAGTATAATGAGTTTTGATCAGTAAAATTGGTAACCCCAAGAAGAAAAGCATTGAGATCAGTCAAAATTATGTGAAGTAAATGAGGCCTAAATTGAATTTTATTGATTAAAAACATATTTTAGCCAATAATTTACAGATTTTTAAATCATGAAGTTTAGCGATTAAAAATTACTTTCACTAATTTAAACAATTGTGATTTGTAATAAACAGTGTAATGAAAAATTATTGATTTTAATTAACAAGCTAAGTTTAACATAATTTTCTATAAAATCTATCAAATAAAAGTGAAACCTCCTTTCTCTCTCCAAAACCCTAGCCTCCATTGTTGAATTTTGAAGGGGCTTCCATCGATTTTAATCGGTGGAAATCCCCAATCCTTGTTTCTTTAATGTTTTTTTAGGTTTATAATAATGCTTCCTCCTTTTGGGAGGAACTTTTCTCCTTTGAAAGAAAGGGTTTCCGATCTCCTTCGAAAGACAAGGATTTTTCGACCTCCTTTGAAAGACAAGGTTTATCTCTTCTTTTCGAGGGAGAAATTTCTTAGTTTTGAATCCATGGTAGCAGATCTAATGGATTGTCGTGAAATTTCGTTGGTGAAAAAGTTATTAAGTTTTCGAATACGAACAGATGAATCAGAAGGAAAACATCCTCTGGCTACAAAGGATCTTTAGATTGTCTCTCCAACAAGGCTGTAATTTTCAGCGATATAAGCGGGAGATGCTCCGCATTTTTTATAAAGGAAAATTCTATTTGATTCAATATCTTATGTATTTGTTAACGTCGAATCTCTATTGTAGATGTCGTATGACTTTTAATTAATGAAATATTTTTGCTATTCAAAAAAAAAAAAAAAGCTAAGTTTAACATAAATCAATAATTTCTTGAATAAAACAATAAATCTCACAAAATTGACAATAAATACAACAATTACCTTTTACCAATATACCCATACTTATATACTTGAAGAAAGGTTTCGCCATGATAAAATGCAGAGCAAGAGTCAACTGGCATAGTATCCAGCCTACGCTTCAAGAAAGCAAGATATCTATTGTTCATTTGTTGGAACTTAGGGCAATCCAAGAGTTTGAGATTGATGACACCAGGGGGTGACATTGAATCTAATACTGCCGACAACCATGTCTTGCTCACGTAACACGCTACACAAAGCCTCTCCGGCAATGGCACTCTCTTCATTATCTTTAACAATACATCGTAGTTCATTTCATCCCAACTCCACACTGTCTTAGTGCCACTTTCCGCCCTAAATAACTTCAACTGCATCTTTATCACAACAGCATATGACTGAAAACAAAAAGACAATGATATTTCAAGTGGTGATCGAATAATAATTTCCAGGAAGTTCAAATTATTGATACTCAGGATATTTCAAGTGGTCACCAAATAGAACATTAAATTTAAAATCATCCTTTAGGCTTACTTCATAACCAGCTATGAAAGGGCAGATTACTCCACTAAATCTAATCTAACTTATGATTTCCTCTTTCCAATCAATATTTCTACTCCCTACGACACTGCCCAAATTAGCCATCATGTTTCAACGGATCAGATTTAGTTTTGCTTAGTCCTCCTAATGACCAATTAAAATGTAGAGTAATAACAAAAAGGTTCTTAAATATTGAAAAATTGCAAAATTCAAATATATGAAGCTAATTTAACGAGATTCATTATGCTAGAAAACTCTAAACTTATACAAGAAACTTCGTTTCACATCCAAGCCCGTCCCTGAGCCAGGTAGAAGAGGTCTAATTACATAGTTCAATCCTAACATTATAGGTTCTGCAACCAAATTTGATTTAATTATGAAATAAGGCTAGAAAAATCACATAATTTTAGGGATGTTTTACTCAATTATCAAATTAGGCTCATAATTTGAAATTGATACGATGATTACATTTAGAAACAACAACTTACCGCAGAAGCTGCTTCAATAGGGGATACAAGTATTCAATGGAGAACTGAAAGAGGGAGTAGAGCAGGAGAAGGAGAGGTAGGCTTCGTTGATCCTCCGGTTTTTTGTTTTTTTTTTCTTCTTGACAATTAGGACAATTCAATGGGTTGGAGTCTTGGAGACTTGGAGCCCCATTAAAAGCCCTGACCCGCCCCAAATATAAATCTGTCTAGTAAATAAATGGGCCGGATCCAATTTTTAAGTTTTTGCAAATATAGAATTTTTTTAAAATTATTATGAAATACTTTTTTTTTTTTTTTTTGAAACAAATCAATTCATACATAAAAAGTCATTCGGCATATACAAATGAAATCTAAATTAACAAATACATAAAATTGAATCAAATTAGGGTTTCCTTCATCAAAGCTACAATCGTTGAAAAGATCTTGCACTGTGGTACATCTCTCACACACATCACTGCAAAATACATCCTTTTCGGAGCGACAGTCTAACGATTTGTTGCAGCCGTAAGGATGATTCTCATCTGATTCGCCTAAACGCATTTGAAAATTTGACAACCGTTGTGATCCCAAACAAATCTTTACCAAAGAACTGACAATAGGGCAAAAAAAATTAACTTTTTTTATAAGAAAAATTGTGGAAAATAATACAACCTTTGGCCCATTCTTTTTTAATAATACAACCTTTTGATTAATTCTTAATAATATAACCTTTGGGGATGTCAATTTTAAACAAGACAAAAAACTTGTAACCTTTAAAACCGGTTATCCATGACACGTGTTGTCATGTAATTGGTCTGAATATTAATTTTAAAAAAATAAATAATTTTTAATTTTCAGTTTTTAACAAAAGTGTTTAAAATTAAATTAATTCCTACTTAAGACATTAATTGTAATTTATATTATTTTAGCAAATTAAAAAAAAAAAAGCCCCCCACACATCCCCCTCCTCTCCCCGACCAAGCCAACCACCATATCTCCCACCTTCGAGCCACCTCCTCTCCCCCGGTACGGCTGGCGCCCAGCTCCACCACCCGCATGTCGTACCACTTCTTTCCCTTTCCCTAACTTACCGCGACCAGCTCCGCCGCGAATAAGCCACCATCACCGAACCCTAACCCAGATTCATCAACCACCACCATCGAAAACTAACCCTGATCCACCAACTACAATTACCGCACCCTAAGCCAGATCTTCCCAAATCCTAAACCCACCTTCAGCAGCACACGAAACAACAGCCACCAATTCGCACCTCTACAGTCCGCAATCACCGATTCTCATCCCTTCCTAGACACACGAGCCTAACCGCAACGCGAACGACACACTAATGCAAGGCTCTGTGGGGATTTTTTTTCGATAAAGGGGAAGTGGAGGGGGCGATTTCCAAGCAACGAAAGGGGAGGGAGGTGGTTATTGGGATCTGGGAAAGAGGATGGGTGATTTTTTTGGTGTTTTGGGGGGTTTTGTGGTGGCGGTTGCGTGGATTAGGGTGGTTTTGTGGTGGTTGGGAAGGAAAGGAGGTTAGGGTTTGGCCTGGATGATGTCGCGATAGTGGAAAGGGGAAGGTCGGGGTTAAGGGGGAAGTGGTCGGCCGACGGTGAGGATGCGGATGTACCGTCGCTGTCGAGGCCCGAGGGTGGCACATAAGTTTGGGGGGGGGAGAGGAGGTGGCTGGGTGGTGGTGGTTGGGTGGTTTGTTTTTTTTATTTATTTCTTTAATAATAATAATTATTTAATTTATTAATTATATTGAAAAACCAATAAAACAATGACATGTGTCACGGTTACCTTCAAAAACAGGTTACCAACAGGTAATGTCTTGTTTAAAATTGACACCCCTAAAAGGTTATATTATTAAGAATTAATCAAAAGGTTGTATTATTAAAAAAGAACGGGCCAAAGGTTGTATTATTTTCCGCAATTTTTCCTTTTTTATAAACCCTAGCTCACAAACAAAGCCTAAACGAACAAGAATAAACAACTAAACTAACAAAAACAACTAAACTAAACTACTTGTGTAGATTTATTGAAACCTAAATAGTAAAACTAATTAAAATTAAGGGAAAAGGGTCGGAAATAGTCCAATTTCCGAAGAAATTAGACTATTTCCGGCCTAAACGGCCAAGGTTTTGGAGAAACCCTAGATGAGAGGAGGAAAAAAGAGGAGAGGCGAGAGAGAAAATCAGACTCCTGCTAAGAGCCTTGACAGTGATACTGTCATGAAGGCTACTGAAGATGTTATAACAAATACAATTTCTATAGTTCCTTCCTCAACTACCTCTCAAAAGCAATCATTTAATTTAGAGAGGTTGTTCAAGCTTCATCACAATGGTTTTCTAAAGCCCGAAAGATTGTCATAACCTCTACATGGGAAGATGAGGTCTTTTCCCCTCCAGACCCTACTAAAGCTATCTCTTTTGATAAAGACACGCTTCAAAAGCTTAGGCAACCCTGGAAGATAACTTTGATGGGTAAGTGCTTGGGCATTTCAGTCCGTCCTTCGTTCATTACTCATCGTGTAAGGGCTATTTGGAGGCCTAAAGGAACCTTGGAAGTGATCGATCTTGGGAAAGATGTTTATATTTTTCGTTTTCCAATTCAAGATGATTATGAGAGGGCACTCCTAGGAGGGCCTTGGTTCATTTTAGATCATTACTTGATGATCACCAAATGGAAGCCAAACTTTCGCCCTTCGATGAATCCATTTGATAGAATGACGGTTTGGATTTGTTTCCCTGAATTACTTATAGAGTATTATGATAAAGAGGCTTTGTTTGACATTGCAAAGCTTGCAGGAAACCCCCTCCGAGTTGATTATGCAACTGATCATTTAACAAGAGCTAGGTATGCAAGGGTATGTCTCGAAATTGATCTAACTTCTCCTCTCATCACTAATGTTTGGGTTGGAAAAAGTTGGCAATGTATTGTGTTTAGGGTTAAAATACCCTCTATATGTGGACCAATGTCACCGCAACACGTTTCCGCAAGCTCAGCGCTCAATGAGCCAATTAGAGCATGACACGTGTCACTCAATGATATACAGGTGAAAATGGCTATACTCCCCATTATCCACTAATATAATATTCTCTCCATCTTCCTACGCTATACTCCCTTTTTGTTGTAATGAGATTCAAACTCCTACCTCATGCACATTACATAAACAAGTACATACCAATTACACATCATGTAAAGTGTTATTATTTCGTTTTAAGAATTGGCCTCTTTCTAATTTTTGGCCCCTCGTAATTATAGGGCTCTTTACACACCTGTTCCACGGCCCTAACTGCAAGTGTGTGATTATAAAAGTATTATGTGTTACACATTGAAAGATAAAGTAAAGAACTTTCAATTTGTAACCCCAGTGATCGAAGCTATATATTGTATTGCTTATTGATTTTAGGATACAAAGATAAAACAGACTTTATGAAATACAGTTTGCCTGTTAGACATTCATTATGTTGCAGGGCATTTGATAGTAGAACCATTACAAAATTACATTAGAAACACAAAATGGTACAATTTGTGAGTTAAATTCTGATTGAAAATTAATTTTTACATTGTAAATCCAAGCAGCAAAATGTTGTGATGGTGCTTTAACACACACACTAGTGTCGTTCTACATGCTTTGTTACAAAAAAAAAGGGTAAACTGAAACAAGGAAAACGCACCATAATGGCAAATGCAGGTGGTACAAAGCATGGGACAAGTTTATACTACTATGGGCGATCTACTCTTCTTTCTTTACACCCATGGAGTTTGGATTCTTCCGCGGACTACCAGAGAATCTCTTTGTCTTGGACATTGTTGGACAAGTTGTTTTCCTCGTCGACATTGTTCTTAGATTCTTTGTTGGATACAGAGATAAACAGACTTATCATATGGTCCACAAACGCCGTTCTATTGCATTCAGGTGCTATATTCTTTTTTGTTTTTGTTTTCCTTACCAGTGTTATAATAGTGTTACTCAAAGTTTTTGTGTTAGTTTTTTCAAAAAAAAAAAATTAGAGGTAGTTATTTTCAAAAGTGATCATTTAAATGATAGTTGTTGATAAAATTTCCGAAAAAAAAAAACACAAACAAGTAAGTTGTTGCTGATTTAATTTGTACAAATTTCGTTTCTGTAGACACCCATTTATGTCTCCCCAAAACCAAACCCGGTGATGAGTACCTTTCACATCGAATCGTAATCGAATGAAGTGCAAGTGTGGAAAGTCTAGTGTTGCGGATAGTTTTAATTTCTTTTCTTTTCTCTCTGTTTTTGAAAACCTATTTTAATAAAACAGTCACTCCAGTTTTTTTGGTCCATTATATGGGTCCAATAGTAGTATAGTTGGATAGGGATTGAAAAGAGCTTTCCAACGATATATTATAAGCCCAATTCCGATAAATATTGAGGAAGTTATGGCCAAATTACTAAACTGGGCCCGGTTTGAGCCTTATATGCGGCCCAATGATGTAGGGGAGGGCCTAATATGGATTTATTATTCCTAATGCAATTAGGAATGGTTTTAGTCTTCTAGATTTTTCTAGAAAGTTCTTTTCATTCCTAATTCAATTAACATTGATAAATTGACTTTTGTTGACTTTTTAGAGTTTTAATCAGAATAAAAGAACGTTTTTGAGGAAAATACGATTTTATCCTCCTGTACGGTTAATTTCTATCTGATTTCAGAAAACGTGTCAGAATTTTAATCAGCGCCAAACACCAGTCATTAGCGCCTGGCGCTAACCTTGTTTTTGCGCATCAGAACTCTATTTCGATTTTCTATCTTTTTGGCTGATTTTCTCTATAAATAGCCTTCTAAAAATTCCATTTTCATTCACCAATTCTCATCAATTCTCATCTAGAACCTCCAATCTAGAATCATCAACTTTCTCTCTAAGCTAAAGCTTCTCTCTCTCTTTTCTAAACCTTGCTTTTGCATACAAAATTCCGCATTCACATGACCTAGATACACCTAGCATTATTCAAAGTTGCCTTCGCCCTAAACGTGAAAGGTTTTAATTTCTGAGGGTTTGGTCCCAAATCTCTTTCAATTATCTAATTTAATTGTTTTAATTATTATTTTCCTTGAAGTTACTAACGTTTGTATTTTGTTATTAGAAAGAGGTACGAGGCATTCAAGTGAGTGCTTTAATGGTTTTTATTGATGTTATTATGTAGAAATCATGCTTAGATTGTTATTTTGATTGCTAGTGTCATGCTAGGGCGTTTTGATCTTCCTAGTATCATGTTCAGGGTAATTTCTAATATTAAATATGACAATTGTGTTTCCTGCGATGCTTCCTATTTTCTTCCTAATATTCATGTTAGGGTTAAAGCTTTGATCTTTATTGCTTAGTTACATGCTAGAGTTTGTTATTAATCTTGTTAG